ATAGACTCAAAGTGAGAGGGGAAAATTGATACTCCAAGCAAATAGTATTCAGAGAAAAACAGGTGTACCCATATCACATAAAACAGACTTCAGGATAAAAAGGAAACAAGAGACAAAGATGGGCATTTTATAATGATAAAAGGGATAATACAACAAGAAGACATAACACTCATTAATATATATGCCCTCAATCAGACAGCACCAAAATACACAAAGCAACTACTAACAAGAACTAAACGGAGATATTGACCAAAACGCAATTATAGTAGGGGACCTAAATACACCATTGGCATCTTTTGATAGATCATCAAAATAGAAAATAAGTGAGACCATATCAGCCCTAAATGACATGTTAGCCCAAATAGACATAATTGACATTTATAGAGCACTTCATCCTAGAACACCAGAGAATACATTCCTTCTTAGCATACATGGAACATTCTCAAGGATAGACTATATGTTGTTACATAAAACTAGCCTCAGCAAATTTAAAAGTATTTAAATCATACCAAGCATATTTTCTGATCACAAGGCTTGAAAATTGCATATCAACTGCAGAAAAAAAGAGAAAAAAAACAAATATGTGGAGATCAAATAACATCATTTTAAAGAACAACTGGGTTAAAGAAGAAATAAGAAGAGAAGTCAAAAGATACATCAAAACAAATGAGAATGAAAATACCTCTTATCAAAATTATTGGGATGCAGCAAAAGCAGTAATAAGAGGGAAATTTATATCATTACAGGCCTATCTGAAGAAACGAGAAAAATTCCAGTTAAAAACCCTAACATTATACCTCAAAGAACTAGAAAAAGAAACCAAATGAAACCCAAAGTCAGTAGAAGGAAGGAAATAATAAAAAGCAGAGCACAACTCAACCGAAATTCCCATCGGTAGATGACTGGATTAAGAAACTGTGGTACGTTTATACAATGGAGTATTACTCGGCTATAAAGAAGAATGAAATCATACCATTTGGGATGCTATGGATGGACTTAGAGACTATTATGTTAAGTGAAATAAGTCAGTCAGAGAAAGACAAATACCATATGATCTCACTTATATGTGGAATCTAAAAAACTTCATGGATTGACTAGAGGCTTGATCACTGCACTGTACACCTGAAGCTGATGTTGTATAATATTGTATGTCAACTATAAGTGAATATATGTATATAGTCACGGGACGTGAAGTACAGTGTGGGAGTGGAGTCAAGGGAATTGTAGTAGATATGTATGATATTGGGAGGGAAGTGGGGTGGCAGATTGGGGGTGGGCAGTTGTCACCTCAAGGGGTAAAATGTATAACTATTGCACTGTGTTGTACAGTTGAAACTAATTTTGAAAAATGTTTATTTCACAGTAAAAAAAATGTCTAGCAAATCTAATACAACAATGCATTAAAAACATTATACATCACGATAAAGTGGAGTTCATCCCGGGAGCATTAGGATGGTTAAACATACACAACTCGATCAATGTGATACACCACATAAACAAAATAAAAGATAAAAATCATATCAATAAAAGCAGAAAATCATTTGAAAAGATACAACATCCACTTATGATTAAAACACTTCATAAAATGGGTATAGAAGGAAAATACCTTAACATAATACAGGCCATATATAACAAGCCTTCAGCTAATATAACTATCTGAAAAACTGAAGTCATTCACTCTACATTCAGGAATAAGAGAAGGTTGTCCCCTATCACCACTGTTATGCAACATAGCATTGGAAGTCCTAGCCAGAGCAATCAGGCAAGAGAAAGAAATAAAAGGCATTTGAATTGGGAATAAAGAAGTTACACTGTCACTTTTTGCAGATGACATGGTTCTTTATGTACAGAACCCTAAGGACTCCACCAAAAAGCTTTTAGAAACAATGAATGAATACAGTATAGTTGCTGGTTAAAAAAATCAATCTACAAAAATCAATCCATTCCATTCCTATATACTAACAATTAAATTTCAGAAAAAGAAATGAAAAAAAATAATTGCTTCAGCAGTTGCAAAAAAAAAGAATGAAATACCTAGGCATAAACTTAACAAAGTTGTGAAGGACCTATGCAGGAAAAACTATAAGAAATATTTAAAAGAAATTGAAGACACAAAGAAATGGAAAGACATTCAGTGTTCATGGATTAGAAGAATCAACATAGTTAAAATAGACATATTACCCAAAACAATATACACATTTAAGGCAGCCCTCATCAAAATCCGAATGGCGTTTTTTTAAAGAAATAGAACAAAAAATCTTCAGATTTGTATAAAATCACAAAAGACCCTGAATAGTCATAGCACTCCTAAGAAAAAAAGAATGAGGCTGGAACTATCACACTCCCTTACTTCAGCTTGTAATACAGAGCAAAAACAATCAAAACAGCATCGTATGGGCAGAAAAATAAACACACAGACCGATGGGATAGAATTGAAAACCCAGAAATAAACCCATATAAATATGGAAAGATAGTTTTTGACAAAGGAGCCAAGAACATACAATGGAGAAAGAAAGCCTTCTCAATAAATGGTGCTGGGAAAATTGGAAAGTCACATGCAAAAGAATTAAACTAGACTGCTATTGGTCACCATATACCAAAATTAACTCAAAATGAATCAAAGACCTAACATATGGCCTGAAACAATAAACTGCATAGAAGAAAGCATAGGTACTAAACTTATGGATCTTGGGTTCAAAGAGGATTTTATGAATATGACCTCAAGGGCAAGGAAAGTAAAAGATAAAATAAATGAATGGGCTGACCGACCTTCATCTCGGGCCAGTACCACCATGTTTTCTCGGGCGGGCGTCGTTGGGGTCTCGGCCTGGGCCGTGCAGCCGCAATGGATCCAAGTTCGAAATATGGCAACTTTGAAAGATATTACCAGGCGACTAAAGTCAATCAAAAACATCCAGAAAATTACCAAGTCTATGAAAATGGTAGCAGCAGCCAAATATGCCCGAGCAGAGAGGGAACTCAAGCCAGCTCGAGTGTACGGAGTAGGATCTCTGGNTTATGTTAAGTGAAATAAGTCAGTCAGAGAAAGACAAATACCATATGATCTCACTTATATGTGGAATCTAAAAAACTGAATGAACAAGCAAAGTAAACAGAAATTGTCTCAGAGATATAGAGGAACAGCTGATGGTTGCTAGTTGGGAGGGGGTGGGGATGAGGGAGAAAGGGAAGGGATTAGACAGCATAAATGGGTAACTACAATATTGCCATAGGGATATGAAAGACAGTTCGAGGAATACAATTAATAATGTAAATATTTTGTAGGGTGTCAGATGGTCACATATCTTTGGAAGACCACTTCATGGATTGACTAGAGGCTTGATCACTGCACTGTACACCTGAAGCTGATGTTGTATAATATTGTATGTCAACTATAAGTGAATATATGTATATAGTCACGGGACGTGAAGTACAGTGTGGGAGTGGAGTCAAGGGAATTGTAGTAGATATGTATGATATTGGGAGGGAAGTGGGGTGGCAGATTGGGGGTGGGCAGTTGTCACCTCAAGGGGTAAAATGTATAACTATTGCACTGTGTTGTACAGTTGAAACTAATTTTGAAAAATGTTTATTTCACAGTAAAAAAAATGTCTAGCAAATCTAATACAACAATGCATTAAAAACATTATACATCACGATAAAGTGGAGTTCATCCCGGGAGCATTAGGATGGTTAAACATACACAACTCGATCAATGTGATACACCACATAAACAAAATAAAAGATAAAAATCATATCAATAAAAGCAGAAAATCATTTGAAAAGATACAACATCCACTTATGATTAAAACACTTCATAAAATGGGTATAGAAGGAAAATACCTTAACATAATACAGGCCATATATAACAAGCCTTCAGCTAATATAACTATCTGAAAAACTGAAGTCATTCACTCTACATTCAGGAATAAGAGAAGGTTGTCCCCTATCACCACTGTTATGCAACATAGCATTGGAAGTCCTAGCCAGAGCAATCAGGCAAGAGAAAGAAATAAAAGGCATTTGAATTGGGAATAAAGAAGTTACACTGTCACTTTTTGCAGATGACATGGTTCTTTATGTACAGAACCCTAAGGACTCCACCAAAAAGCTTTTAGAAACAATGAATGAATACAGTATAGTTGCTGGTTAAAAAAATCAATCTACAAAAATCAATCCATTCCATTCCTATATACTAACAATTAAATTTCAGAAAAAGAAATGAAAAAAAATAATTGCTTCAGCAGTTGCAAAAAAAAAGAATGAAATACCTAGGCATAAACTTAACAAAGTTGTGAAGGACCTATGCAGGAAAAACTATAAGAAATATTTAAAAGAAATTGAAGACACAAAGAAATGGAAAGACATTCAGTGTTCATGGATTAGAAGAATCAACATAGTTAAAATAGACATATTACCCAAAACAATATACACATTTAAGGCAGCCCTCATCAAAATCCGAATGGCGTTTTTTTAAAGAAATAGAACAAAAAATCTTCAGATTTGTATAAAATCACAAAAGACCCTGAATAGTCATAGCACTCCTAAGAAAAAAAGAATGAGGCTGGAACTATCACACTCCCTTACTTCAGCTTGTAATACAGAGCAAAAACAATCAAAACAGCATCGTATGGGCAGAAAAATAAACACACAGACCGATGGGATAGAATTGAAAACCCAGAAATAAACCCATATAAATATGGAAAGATAGTTTTTGACAAAGGAGCCAAGAACATACAATGGAGAAAGAAAGCCTTCTCAATAAATGGTGCTGGGAAAATTGGAAAGTCACATGCAAAAGAATTAAACTAGACTGCTATTGGTCACCATATACCAAAATTAACTCAAAATGAATCAAAGACCTAACATATGGCCTGAAACAATAAACTGCATAGAAGAAAGCATAGGTACTAAACTTATGGATCTTGGGTTCAAAGAGGATTTTATGAATATGACCTCAAGGGCAAGGAAAGTAAAAGATAAAATAAATGAATGGGCTGACCGACCTTCATCTCGGGCCAGTACCACCATGTTTTCTCGGGCGGGCGTCGTTGGGGTCTCGGCCTGGGCCGTGCAGCCGCAATGGATCCAAGTTCGAAATATGGCAACTTTGAAAGATATTACCAGGCGACTAAAGTCAATCAAAAACATCCAGAAAATTACCAAGTCTATGAAAATGGTAGCAGCAGCCAAATATGCCCGAGCAGAGAGGGAACTCAAGCCAGCTCGAGTGTACGGAGTAGGATCTCTGGCTCTGTATGAAAAGGCTGATATTAAGGGGCCTGAAGACAAGAAGAAACACCTCCTTATTGGTGTGTCCTCAGACAGAGGGCTCTGTGGGGCTATCCACTCCTCGGTTGCTAAACAGATCAAAAATGAGGTGGCTACGCTCACAGCAGAAGGGAAAGAAGTTAAGATTGTCGGAATTGGTGATAAAATCAGGGGTATACTTCATAGGACTCATTCTGACCAGTTCCTGGTGACATTCAAAGAAGTGGGAAGAAAACCCCCTACTTTTGGAGATGCGTCAGTCATTGCCCTGGAATTATTAAATTCTGGATATGAATTTGACGAAGGATCTATTGTCTTTAATCGATTCAGGTCTGTCATCTCCTACAAGACAGACGAAAAACCCATCTTTTCCCTTAATACCATTGCAAGTGCTGAGAGCATGAGCATCTACGATGATATTGATGCTGACGTGCTGCAGAATTACCAAGAATACAGTCTGGCCAACATCATCTACTATTCTCTCAAGGAATCCACCACGAGTGAGCAGAGCGCCAGGATGACAGCCATGGACAACGCTAGCAAGAATGCTTCTGAGATGATTGACAAATTGACTTTGACTTTCAACCGCACTCGCCAAGCTGTCATCACAAAGGAGTTGATTGAAATCATCTCGGGTGCTGCGGCCCTGAATTAAGGAAAATCAAGTTTCATCCTCAGACAAGAGGTAAAGAAGGAAAATTCAGCCAGCTAATTTTGTTTTTGGCTTACTGCTGTCCTGGTCAGAAGAAATTATTGGAGTAATTGTTAAATTACCAAAGGCGGCAAGACATTTGTAAATTATCTTACAATAAAACCTTACAATAAGAAAAAAAAAATAAAAAAAAAATAAATGAATGGGACTATATCAAACTAAAAACCTTCTGCACAGCAAAAAAAAACATCAACAAAACAAAGACACAACCAACCAAATGAGAGAAAATAATTGCAAACAATGCCTCCGATAAGGGGATAATCCACAAAATAAATAAGGAACTCATACAAATCAACAACAAAAAGACAAACAATCCAATTAAAAAATGGGCAGAGGACTGAACAGAAACTTCTCTCAAGAAGATGTACAAATGGCCAACAGATACATAAAAAAATGTTCAACTTCACTAGCTATTAGGAAAATGCAAATCAAAACCACATTGAGATATCACCTCACACCTGTTAGAATGGCTATCATCAACAAAGCAAATAATAACAACTGATGGAGAGGCTGTAGAGAAAAATAAACCTTCATACACTTTTGGTGAGAATGTAAATATGTACAGCCACTATGGCAAACAACATGGAAGTTCCTCCCAAAATTAAATAAATTATTATATGACCCAGCAATCTCTCTCGTGAGTATCTACCCAAAAAATCTGAAAACACTTACCTGTAAAGATGTATGTACTCCAATGTTCATTACAGCATTATTTGTGGTGGCCAAGATATGTAAACAAACCAAAGTGTTTTCGATAGATGATTGAATAAAGAGGATGTGGTATATATACACAATGGAATACTACTCTTTCATAAGAAAAGATGAAATACTTCCACTTGCTACAAGTGGATGGATCTTGAGATTATTATGATGAGTGAAATAAGACAGAAAAAGTCAAGAAACATGAATTCTCTCATATGTGGGATATAAAACTGAAGGCAACACAGGAACAAGACACATAAATAAATAAATAAATAAATAAATAAATAAATAAATAAATAAAAACTCATAGACACAGACAACAGTTTAGTAGTTACCAGAGGGTAAAGAGAAGGGGGAATGGTAGTAGAAGAGGGTAAAGAGGGCCAAATATATGGTGATGGAAGGACAACTGTCTCTAGGTGGTGAACACATAATGTAATATATACATGATGTATTGTAGAATTGCACACTAGAAACCTATGCAGTTTGGTTGACCGTTGTCACCCCAATACATTTTAATATAAAATTGCTCAACTTCGCTTACTATTAGGTCAGTGCAAATCAAAACCACAATGAGATATCACCTCATACCAGTTAGAATGTCATTAACAAGGCAAATAATAAGTGTTGGAGAGGCTGTGGAGAAAAATAAACCCTCATACACTGTTGGAAGGAATGTGGATTGGTGCAGCCGCTATGGAAGACAATGTGGAGGTTCCTCAAAAAATTAAGAATAGAATTGCCATATGACCCAACAATCCCTCTCCTGGGTATCTACCCCAAAAATCTGAAAACATTTATCTGTAAAAATATATATACCCCACAGAGACAACCAAGATGACACAGTAGGTAAACGTTGTGTTTACCTTCTCTCACAACCACATCAAAATTACAGCTAATCTACAAAACAACCATTATTGAGAATCTCCTAAAATCAAGCTGAACTGAAGCCTTTCAACTATGGGCATGCAGAAAAAAGCCACCTCCAGACTGGTAGGAAAGGTAGAGGTGTGGAATGGGCTGGTCCCACACCCGCGTGTGACCACTAAAGATTGGAGGGCTATTTCAGCTATGGGGGTCCCCCATCCCCTAGAGGAGCGAGAGGTCCCAGCCCCACCACAACCCAGGGTTCCACTGCTGGGGAGAGATGTCCCCATAATTTCTGATTATGAAAAACAGCAGAGATTGTGACTGAGTGAGATTAATTGCAGCTGCACTCACAGGTGTCCCTTTCAAAGGGACTGTACACAGACTTACCCACCAATGGAATCACTCGCTCTGAGTTCCAGCACTGGGGCAGTAGCTGAAAAGGTTGCAGGGACATATGGTGGGAAAGTGAGTTCTCTGTCTTGGGACAGGGGCTTTCTCTTGGACTAGGGAGTTGGTGGAAGTCATTGTTTCTTTGTTGAGTCCTCCCCCTTCCCTGTGTGTGGACACAGGCAGTTGCTGCAGCTGAGTCTCTGCCATTTGTTTACTGCCCTGGCAATTCGAGACCTGGCCCTGCCCAACTTTTGGGCACATACAGGCTGCTTTCACTGGCTTTTTCATGCAGACCACCTCCCTTGGCTCAAGCTGCAGAATTTCCTAGCATCTCTCAAAGATATGCAGAACCCAAACATGCAGCATTTTGCTTCAGCGTGTCCCATACTTCACTGAGCACCCCTAAGCCGGCAGTAGTTATAGCTGGCCTTGGTTTGAGACTTGGCCTCTCAAGTTGCTTCCAAGAACAGCATGGGTGGCATCCATCTGCGGATTTCTTTCTGACTCCCACTGGGTGGCCCCAGGTGAGGCACAGGTTGTGACTGAAGTATAATCCCTCCAAGGTGGCCCTGGGGCTGGCACCCTCAGTGGCATCCTTCAAAACAAGCTGGAGCATCACCCAGCCACCTCCAAGTAGGACACACCCAAGGGCCAAATTGGGCGGGTACCAGAGTCCTGCTGAGACAGATCTTGCTCTGCAGGATCAGCTCTTGCACAACAACCCTTCCACCATTGTTAAGTCTAGTCCTCACAACCAGTGAGCCCAAGGGTCAGTCCCTCCCTTTGATGTGCAATTATCAACCAAGGCTCAGCAATAAGAGGAGCGCACACACAACTCACACAAGGGACCACCTGGAGTGTGTGGCTCAGGTGACCAGAAATTCCACACCACTGAACCCCAAAATACACCTACTACATAAGGCCACTTTACTAAGACCAGAAGACATAGCACCACTACCTAATACATAGAAGCAAATACAGGAAGGTAGCCAAAATGGTGAGACAAAGAAATATGTCCCAAATAAAAAAACAGAACAAATCCCAAGAAAAAGAACCAAGGGAAATGGAGATAAGCAATCTATCAGATACAGAGTTCCAAACACTGGTTATAAGAATGCTCAATGATCTTAGGGAGAACTTCCACAAAAAGATAGGATACATAAAATGAAGATGGAAACCATTAAAAAGAATCAGTAAGAAATAAAGGATACAATAACAGAAATGAAGACTATATTAGAGGAAATCAACAGTAGATTACATGAAGCTGAGGATCCAACTAGCGACGTCAAAGATAAGGTAGCAGAAAACACCCAACATGAACAGCAAAAAATTAAAAAATCCAAAATATTGAGATGAGTTTAAGGGGCCTCTAGGACAATATGAAGCATACCAACATTCACATTACTGAGGCACCAGAAAGAGAAAAGATAGAGTAAGGAATTGAAAACCTATTTGAACAAATAACAACACAACACTTTCCTAACCAGGTGAAGGAAACAGACATACAAGCCCAAGAAGTGCACAGAGAGTCCCAAAGAAGATGAGCCCAAAGAGGCCAACACGAAGACACATCATAATTAAAATGCCAAAGGTTAATGATTAAGAGAGAACTTTAAAAGGTGCAGGAGAAAAGCAGTTGGTTACCTATGAGGGAGCCCCCATGAGACTGGCAGCTGATTTCTCCACAGAAACTTTGCAGGCAAGAAGGGAGTAGCAGGAATTATTCCAAGTGATGAAAAGCAATGACATATGATCCAGATTACTCTACCCAGCAAGGCTGTCATTTAGAAATGAAGAACAGATAAGAAGCTTCCCAGACAAGAAAAAGGTGAAGGAGTTCATCACCATCAAATGAGTATTACAAGGAATCTTAGAGGGGCTTCTTTAAGATGAGAGGGGTGATAAGGATGGATGAAAGGGGAAGGAACTAAGAAGTACAAATTTGTTGTTATACAATAGTCATGGGGATGTAGGGTATAGCATAAGTAATATAGTCAATAATATTGTAATAATCAGGCATGGTGCCAGATAGGTACTAGACCTATCAGGGTGATAAATGGGAATTGGGTTGGAGTCAGGGTGGAAAAGGTGAAGGCATTAAGAAATATAGATTGATAGTTAATACAGTATGGGGAATATAATCAAAATGTTGTAAAGATCATGTAAGGTGCCAGATGGGCACTGGAATTATCGGGAGATCATGTCATAGACTGTGTAGTTGCCTGACCAATGCTCTATACACATGAAGAGCTGAAGTAAAATAATATTGAATGTCAACTATAACTAAATATGTAGGTATATACAGTCACAAGATGTGGAGTACAATATAGTGAAGATGGTTGATGGTATTGTAACAGCTATATAAGATGTCAGAGGGGTAATAGCTTTAGGGGTGGGTTATCACTTTATGAGGTGTTTAAATGTCTAACTCTTATGTTGCTTTGTACACATAAAACTAATAAAAAATTTAAAAAATACATTATATATATATATATATATATTCCAATGTCTATTGCAGCTTTATTTACAGTGACCAAGACATTGAAACAACAAAAGTGCCCTTTGATAGATGATTGGATAAAGAGGATGTGGTATATACACACAATGGAATACTATTCTGCTAAAAGAAAATATGAAATACTGCCATTTGCAACAGCATGGATGGATCTTGAGGTTATTATGCTAAGCAAAATCGATTAGACAGAAAAAGTCAAGAACCATAAGATTTCACTCATGTGTGGCATATAAAACTAAAAGTAACAAAGGAACAATACACACAAATAAAGAAACATAAACTCATAGAAACAGGCAACAGTTTGTTACCAGAGGGTAAGGGAGGAGAAGGCACGGTAGAAGAGGGTAAAGGGGTTCAAATATATGGTGATGGAAGAACTGATTCTGGGTGGTGAGCACACAATGTGATACATTGATGATGTATTATAGAATTGTACACTTGAAATCTATGTAGTTTTGTTGACCATTGTCACCCCAATAAATTTTAATTTAATAAAAGTTTATGCATCAGAAAGTCATAACAATTATAAAATATATATGCATTTACCAACAGAGCCAATAAGACATAAATAAAAAACTCTCAGAGTTGAGGATATAATTACATAATTCATTATGAAAATTGAAGAATTAAATATTCAATATTCAATA